GCTGAATGAAAATCACTGGTAAACCAATGACTCCTCCACTAAATTGCCTCTCTTGTATCAGGTCTAAAACAAAGTTTTTATATTCTAGCCACCACATGCTACATATAAATTTTACCACTAAAATATAAATTTGAAATAAAAGAATATATAATATTTTAAAAGGTGAACTTTCATTAAACTGGGAATTGTAGTTGACTGCAAATGCTCTGACGTTCAAGAGATGGAGCTCAGTAAGAGGACATGTTATTCTTATCTTTTTAAATATTTTTATAGTTGGGGAGAAAGTATAGTAAATTCTTCATCATATGAAATATATGGTGGAATAAGTCATTGAACTCAACTTTCCAAAGAATTGGAAGTTAAAGAAAACATTAAAAACGTTCTTTTCACCATTATGGATTAAAATATTTCTGAAATAGACTCTTAACTTCTTAAGTATGAAAGGAAATTTAACAGTACATAATAGAGTATATAAATAGACATTACATTTTCCATTCTTTCTTACACTTAAATTTTTTTTTTACAGCATTTGATACTCTTTTGAGTACTCTTTCTTAAGTCCATCTTATTCCCTTGGCTTTCTTGATACCAGTTTCCACTGGTTCTCTTTCTTTCTCTCTGCCATTATCTTTGTAGCCTCACTTTTGGATTCCCCTTCCCTCTTGACCTTCCTCCCACAAACATTTGGTGCCATATGTAACTAACATTGTCCTAGGGACTTGGCATTACAGGAGTAAACAAATCAGGCATTTATTGCCATGCAGTTGTAATTGTTAAATCTCTTTGCAAGTATCAATAAGTGCTGAGATCATACTACATAATTACTTTTTACTACTTAGTCAGCTGAGAGGTCTTCTGCAGGGAGAAACTGTATTTTATTCACCTCTGAATCTCAGCCCAGCATAGTGCCTGTCACAGAGCTCAGGCTTAATTAAATGTTTGTTGAATGGATGCACAATGTGAGATTCTTTGATACCCTAGAAATACTGTGGTCTAGAACTATGCTCTCCACTACAGTCGCCACTAGTCAAATGAAGTGATTTAAATGTAAATTACAGGTAAAATAAACAGAATTAAAAATTTAGGTCTTCTGTCACACTAGCCATGTTACAAGTGTATAATCACCACATGTGGCTAATGGCTACTGTGTTGGATAGTACAGATACAGAACATTTCCATTACTGGTGAAAATTCTGTTGGACAGGGTTAGAGGATTGTTACCTCTACACTCCATGTCTCCGGATTGTCATTCTGTCATTAGTTCTTTTCATGGTTTCTCTGTCTCTTTCCTTTCTTGTCAGCTGTCACTTATCCTTTCATCTTCTAATTTGCTGTTTCAGTACGTCTAGTTTTTAAACATAATTCGTCAGGTTTGTGACTACAGCAACGCGTGGTCTTTCATTTTTTTCAGAATTTCTGATTCTAGATTGAATTATACATTGATAAAGCTGATATATAGCTAAATTGTAGATAAATGGCAGTTTTGTTAAGTGGTTTTATGATCTTTGCATGAATATTCTCCAGAGCAGTTATACTCATATTCGTTGATTTCCCAATATGCTTTTCTTAAAAGGAAATTGATTCTAAATTGCTTACTTCTCTACAGTTTGCAGTCTGTGCTGGAAGATCTCCTGGTTGCTACTTCTGATGGACTTCTTCATCTTATTCACTGGGAAGGAATGACAAATGGGAGGAAAGCTATTAATCTTTGTACAGTACCCTTTTCAGTAGATCTCCAGTCATCTAGAGGTAGTTACACTTTTTTCATGAGACAGAACCAGATGTTTAATATTTTATATAAACTAGTTAGATATTTCTTATGGATGAACATTGGTTTTTCTACTTTGGAATTAATTATGCAAGGGAGGAGGGTGTGTGTGTGTGTGTGTGAGAGAGAGTAGGAAGGAGTAGTTCAATTGTTTAGTGTTGTTAGGTCATGTTTGCCCTTTTAACTGTCCTTATATGCTTTGCAAGCAAAAATATAAGAGAATTAATTTACTATATGTATATTCATATTTCATGTACTTTTTTTTTCATCAGCAGGTTCATTCCTGGGCTTTGCAGATGTGCACATTAGAGACATGGAATACTGTGCCACACTTGATGGGTTTGCTGTTGTGTTTAATGATGGTAAAGTTGGATTTATCACACCAGTGTCAAGTAGATTTACTGCAGAGGTATGACTTATTTACTTGGAATGTTTATTTTTTAATTTTGCATTTATTAATTTTAGTCTTTATTAAACCCCTCCCCTATTTTCCTTATTTAAGATTTTAGGGGTTGTTAATTTTTTAATCAAAACTACATATAAATAGTGTAAGTAGACAATTCTATTGACATGTTAATGAAAAATGATAGTTCCTTTCCTCCTGCTTGTTCTCTTCATGCCGTTTTCATTCTCAGAGGTAACTACTTTTTATTCCTTCACTGGTGATTTTGCTATTTATCTCCACTACTCTGAGTATTTCCTGTAATTTTTAGTTTTTAGGCTGTGTTCATTGACTTCCCATTGTGGAAAATGACCATGTACTTTCCACTTCCCTGTTCCCCCACCCTGTCTGTAAGTTCTTCCCATCTTCCCAATATAGTTATTGTGATTTTGATTATATTAGTATCTGTTTCATCTTCTTGAATAAATTTCTCTTGGAGCCTTCTGGACGATTGCTTACTATACATACCTATTTAACACAGTTGCATTTTTAGGCTGTCCATCATTATCATCCTGTGGATTTCCTATATTCCTTTATTTTTAGATCCTTTCAGAGTTAATGGTTAATTACTATTTGATTCATTAATATATGAATTTGGTTGCTGTGACAGAGACCCAAAATAAGAATTTGGATTCACTGAAGGCCGTGTGGGCTTTGGTGGGTTTGGTTGACTGTGATCTTCATCATAGGGTGAGCTAACTGGGTTATTTCTTTTCCTCCCCACTCAGTATCCGGTGTCTGTTGGAGAAGAGTCCTGCAGTCTTTCTCAGAGAATATGTACCTGGCTGGCCCAGTATTTAGCGATTTGAGTTATGGAAGAGTTAGACTAGAGGGTCCAAATTCAGGATGTAAACTCCCATGTATCCCTATTTTTGGTGTGGTCTAGAGACCACTGAGATTTTTTTGTTTTTCTCTAAAGAAAAACTCCAGTTTTCTATTGGAGTGGAGGTGGGATATTTCTTAGCTGCTCAGACTGGGAGGTAGGCAGTCCCAGCTACTGATTAAACAGGCTTTAAACCAATCCTACTGCTTTTAGTTCAGCTTTTGAGAGACATTTAAATTCCAAGGCCTTTTGTGTACCTTACAATGTAAGTGTGGCTTTTTTTCAACATCATTACTGCTAGTTAAGGATTCTACTCATCCACTTGCTTCCCAGCTTCCAGAATTTTCTGATATCACGTCCTCTCCCATTCTTTGTCCTTGCCAACATATGCATTTTGAAAAACATCTTTTCTGTTATAAAAGTTGGGGTTTTAAGAGTCAGAGAAGCTAAATATTCATGTTCAGTTTGTTTAATGGAAAGGATTTTAAGTTTTCAAGGGAATATTTTTCTGTATGGTATCAGCTTTCTGTCTGATTTATTTCACTCAGCATAATGCCCTCAAGGTCCATCCATGCTGTTGCAAAAGGCAAGATTTCATTCTTCGTTATGGCTAAATAATATAGTTGACCCTTGAACAACATAGGTTTGAACTGTGCAGGTCCACCTACACCTGGGTTTTTTTCAGTAAATACATACTACAGTACTCTACGATCTGTGATTGATTGAATCCACAGATGCGGAACCAAGGATATGGAGGGCCAACTGTAAAGTTGTATGTGCTGGGGGTAGGTGCCCCTAACCCCCATGTTGTAAGGGTCACCTGTATATTCCTGTGTGTGTGTGTGTGTACCAAATTTTCTTTATCCATTCATCCATCAGTGGGCACTTAGATGTTTCCATATTTGGCTATTGTAAATAATGCTGCATTGAACATGGGGGTGCAGTTGTCTTTTCAAGTTAGTGTTTTCTTCTTCTTCTTCTTCTTTTTTTTTTTTTTGGATAAATACCCAGAAGTGGAATTGCTGGATTATGTGGCTGTTCTAACTTTACTTTTTTTTTTTTTTTTTTGAGGAAGTTCCATACTGTTTTCTGTAGTGGCATACCAATTTACATTCCCATCAACAGTGCACAAGGGTTCCCTTTTCTCCACATCCTCCCAACACTTATTATTTCTTGTCTTTTTGATAATAGCCATTCTGACAGGTACAAGGTGATACCTCATTGTGGTTTTGATTTGCGTTTCCTTGGTGTTAGTGATGTTGAGCATCTTGTCAGGTACTTTTTGGCTCTCTCTGTGTGTTCTTTGGAGAAATGTCTGTGCAGATCATCTGTCCATTTTTTAAGAATTTTTTTGCTATTAAATGTGTGAGTTTTTAATATATTTTGGATACAATCTTTTCTCACATATATGATTTGCAAATATTTTCTCCCATTCAGTAGATTGCCTCTTCATTTTGTTGACATATGTGTGGGATTTAAATGTTTTTACTGAAAACAAAAATATTAGAGCTGGAAAGTGAGTGACTCATTTCTGAATATCAGCTTGTATTAGTATTTGGTTAAAGAAAGTTTTCTAGTAAATTAAGGATTTAAAATAATGAAATGTAGACGAAACATTATTAAATAAGTTATAAGTAGAAAATATAAATTACAAGAAAACAATACATATCTATTACTGGTAATTGGGAAATACACTAATGCCGTATTTATATCAGACATTATTTAAGTGCTTTATAAAAATCCTGTTTGGCACTGCCTTTTTTTTTTTTTTTTTGGCTGTGCCGAGCAGTAATGCGGGATCTTAGTTCCCTGACCAGGGATCGAATCCACGCCCCCCTGCAGTGGAAGCGTGGAGTCTTAACCACTGGATTGCCAGGGAAGTCCCGTGTTTGGCACTGTTTAATACAGTTAGAAAATGTATTAAAATATGTCAGATTATGCCACTCCTCTGCTCAGAACCCTTCAGTAGGACAAGATATTTAGGACAAAACCTGCTGAGGACAACTAAAAGAGCTGGAGAAAAAATATTTTTTGAATGTGCTTAACAGCTTTGGAGAGCTAAGAAGACTGTAAAGAGCTAACAAGACTGGTTAGGGGAGGCCAGAGGCCCAGTGAGCTAAAAGCCCAGTGTTTGACATGACAGTGAGCATGAACAAACAAGGCTGTATGCAACAACATGGATGAATCTCACAAACATGTTTAGTGGAAGTGGCTAGACACAAAAGTGTACATGCTATGATTCTATTTTATATAAAATTGAAGGAAAACAAAAAACATAGGCAGCTCTGAATCAGTTCTGTGTGGACGCATGTTTAAGTGTTAATTGTTTAAAGGAAAAGAAGGAAGTGATTACTATGTAAGTCTGGATATTGTTTCTTTTGTGGTAGAGGTGAGGATAATATTGATCAGGAGTGACACTGTTGGGGGACTTGTGGGTACTGGTAATTCCTAGCCTGAGTGGTAATTTCACAAGTGTTTACTTTGTGATATTATTGTGATGTCCATTTTTGCTTTTGTATTTTTCTCTAATGTATTATAATTCATAATAGAAAGGGTTAAAAAAAATTAAAGACACTCCAAATGACTCCCCATATATGAATTGGAGAAAAAGCCAAAGTTCTTATGGTGACTTTCAAAGCCCTATAAATCTGGCCTCCTATTTCATCTGTTACCTCATTTATTCCTCCTCCTTCCCCCATTCCACTCCACTCCACTCCACCTGCACAGGCCTCTTTGATGTTCTTTGAACATGCCAGAAATGCTACTGTGACAGGGCCTTTCTACTTTGTATCTCTGAAAGTACTTTCCTCAAGAGGCACCTTCATAGGGAAGACCTTTTAATATTACATCCTTCCCCCATATACTCTTCTCCTTAATTGTTTTATTATTTTTTTCTGTAACATTTACTAACCTCCCACGTGATACTGTACAATTTTTTAAACTTGTCAGTCTCTTAACAAATGTAAAGCAGAGATATAGCTAGGGATTTTGGTATGTTTGAATATCTACAGTATCCTTGGCACCTAGAGCAGTACCTGGTGAATAGTAGGCACCTGGAAAATTTTTGTTATAGGGATGAATAAACGAATTTCAGTCTAGGCAGCAGTCCAAAGAAATAATGCTCAATGCTGTCTTTGCCATTTTTGTTAACTAAAATAATGTCTAGTTTTATTATTAAAATTGAAGAATAAATAAAATTCCTACAAAAAAGCAAATATTCCATATTTAGATAGTAGATTCTATAGTTTATTTAGGAATTAAATAAAATCTATAGTATTATATTTCAAACAGTTTAATTATATTGGATCATCTAATTTTACTATCGTGATAATCCAGAAATAAAGTAGTGTGCTGATTTTTTGTGCTTACTAAACAGTCATGATGAACTTTGCCTTAGAAATTTATGATCTAGGATGCCCTTGATTTGACAAATAAAAACAGACAAGGGAGCTCAATCTATTCTGTGTCTGTGTTCAGAATTAAGTAGCATATAAGGCTTAATAATAATGTCATTCATTTATTGAAGCTTAACTTGTTGAATTCCAGGCATTGTATTAAGTGGGTTACTTGTATGTAAGTTCTCATTTAATTTTCAAAACACAGATAAGAGGTAATTTACAGATAAGAAAACTGAAGCTTGGAAAGGTCAAATAATCATTTTAGCAAGTCAGGGGTAGATCTGAGATGTTATGTCAGGCTGCCAGATACCATGCTACTAACCACTGTACTATAAAGCAAAGGAGTAATAGAGAATAGTAAGCAATTGACAAATCATTAATCACTTCTAAAGGATAGATGAAATAAAATCGACCATTTTCGATTGATCAGAAAAGTTCAACACTATATGCTAGGTGACAAGAATAATAATAGTGAGCAAATTAAACGCAGTTTCTACCATCAAGAGGTTTACAGTCGTCTTCATTTAATTTGAATTTACAGGTCAGATATCCATTTTTTAGTGTTTTATGAATAGATTAGCACTGGACTGAGCTCATTTGGGAATATTTATTGAACCAGTTAATGAAATTGAGGTTTTTAAGGGAGAAAATCCAGATGGTAGTTCTGATGGGATGTTTTCCTATCCAGATCAAACCATATAAAGAACCATATAAAGCCTTATAAAACTGTGTTTATTGAAGGAGAATTATATTGATAAAAGTATATTTGGGGAACATGCTTTAAATCTTAACTATTTTTCTTAATTTTAGCAGCTTCATGGAGTTTGGCCACAAGATGTTGTTGATGGAACTTGTGTAGCAGTAAATAACAAGTATCGACTGATGGCGTTTGGTTGTGCGAGGTAATTGATACAGATGTCTGCATTTTAAGACTTACTGCCGAAAATAATGGGCTTTTTTTTAAACCATAAGATATTCTTAACACACTTATGAACTTTATTGTGCCTTTCATAATTTATGAATCAGCCTTAATATAAAATCTAAAAGCATTTTAATAGATTGAAGCAAACCTAAAGGGCAGATTTTGGAGATTGGGTGTTTAAGTTTGTAAAAGTGAGCTTTTTTTCAGTGGTAGGAAATTGAGTCACAAGTTAAGAATAAATCAGTTACAATTTAGGTTCTTTATTGTTTAAAAGAAGATCAGGAAGAATGTTTTCCTTTTTTGGAAACAGTCCTTTCTTTTTAAGACATCAGTGTTGACTTGCCTTTGAATTAGTGGGTGTGCCTTAGTTAACAAGCAAATTAAAAGCTTATACATAAAATCAGTTTCTTGCTTTAATTCATATAATTCAGGTTTTAGAAGTAAAATTGAATACAAATTATTCATTCAACAAATATATTTGTGTCTGCCATGTGCCAGGCACAATTCTAAGCACTTGGGATACATTAGAAAACAACAAATATACCTGACTTTTTTGAGCTTTATGTTTTAGCTCAAATAAAAAGATTATATCAGATGCTGAGAGTAATACCTTAAAAAGTGTATAGTGCTTTTTAGTCTTCAAAACTCTTTGTTAAATATAAAATTCCATTTTGACCTCAAAATGTGACTTAGTAGTTCTGTAGAACATAACATCTAATATTGTTTCCAGCTACATCAAGGTAAGTATCAAAGTATTTCTATCAGTATAAGTAATACACTGATAGTGTTATAAATCACTGCCTTCATTATACTCTCAATAATCTGTTTGTGAAGTAGGAAATCCTTATCCTCAACACATTGCTTCTCACTGAGGAGATAAATGTAGAAAGTAAATTTAACTTAGTGTAAGGAGAAAAGGAAAGCATATTTTTCTTCATCATTATGGATTTGACTTGGTCACATTTTGTTTAGAATTTTTAAATCTATGTTCATGAGTACAGTTTGCTATAGTTTTTTTTTTTTTTCTCTCTCTCCTGGTTAACCAAGGTTATGCTTGTCTCATAAGATAAGTTGAGGAAGGATTTCTCTCTTT